TGGTCTTCAGTCACCTTCCTTGCCCCAACCTGTTTGGTGCATATGGTGGACTTCATCGAAATCGATGGTCGAACACGCATTCCGTGCGTGTAGGCATGGATTGCGTAGACTGATTGCTGTCACTAATGCATGTTGTCGTTGTAACTTGCGGAACGCAGTGGGACTTGTACCAGGGGAAGATTTTGTTAGTGTTATAATAGTGGCCTGGGCTCTGATTCCCCAGCTCTCAAACGAATTTCTAAATCTGTCTGACCGGGTCTTCGGTGGATAGGCAGCCAACTAATCTTTGGAATTTCTCTGGGGAGGTTTTGCAAGACCATGATTAGATGGTAATTTGTAAAACCCACTATCGGTTACCGCTTTTAGGCTCTACTGTTGGTGTTGCTGTTCAAATACTCTCGAGAGTGGAAATTGCACCCGTTTTTGATAAATCCTTCATCCTTTTTGCATAGCTTGATTCGGGTTGGCTAGCATCGTGCGCTCTCATTAAATGGGCCCGACCTAGTGATTTATGCCGACCTATTCGGGCATACTTCGGAAGCATTATGATTTCTAATTTTGAAAAAGTCAAATTTGACAAACGTACGTTCTCCATTACCGATCGGGAAGAACGGTAGTATACGCCACGGTGGTGCAGCAATGTATGAAAACCAACCAATGAACAAGGGCAATTGCGCAGAGGCTCTAGGGTTTTAAGACATGCCCGGGCGAGTGGGAGGGAGGGGAAAGAATTATAGTCAGGGAATAGGGCAGCAGGGGTTGTGCCTGTGTTTCGACGCTGTAACGCGACATGGTAGGATGTGGTTAAGAAAACATTGGGCTCAAGTTGGTCCAGGGTAACTGGAGGACTGGTATATAACGACCAGGTAATTTTGCAAACTAGTCAGGTCGCAAGAAAATTTGCCTTTTGAATTCCGTCTCAGGGCGTCACGCTCAGATAATCGAAGTTTGACTGTAGGTCGCGTACTCGACTTCTCGCGTGAAGACTTCAAGATCCACCCCTTGCTTCGGTGTAGATTAATGCTGTTGTGAGGAGCGTACCTGCCTTGTGCAACTTACTCATCTATTTCTTCTTGCAAAAAAGGCTGGCTTAATTTACCCCTACGTAGACGGCATAAGTTTTGTATCTTACCCTAACCCCTTCACACAACGTATCATTATTCGCTGGTTGTTTACAGACAAGACTTTTCGCTTCAGGAGGCTTGTATTTGGGTGACCGTTTTTTTTCCAGAATGCCGAAACGTCAAGATTATATGCCCGGCGCCCCCCACATTCCAGTCGACACAGGGCATCCGTATATCTTGCTTAGCGGCCGCACCGAATTATTTTGGCGAAAAATGTAGTAATACCGGAATTACCATTGCTGTCGATCAGGATAGACGGATACGCACTGTTTCCATTCGACTCTGAATGGTCCCGACCTCACATGACCTGCCCACTAGTCATAAGGACGCCGCTCAGTGCTATGCTAACTCGGGCTCAGGCCTCGGGCTTATGTTCCAGGGGTCGGGTATTACAGACTATTTGGTGGCATTCGTTCGCGTCCTCGTCA